ACACCAAATACACAAAATAATGTTCTTTTTAGCAGCATCATATGACCCCTTTAAGATGTAAGATGACATTACACATCATTGGCATATTAAGCATAATTGGTGTAAGATTGTGTTGTGGTAATAAGGAGCCCGCTGACGCAGCATTTTCACTTCCTGTGTGTGTTTTCAGGCCAACATGCTGCACGATCGCTTGGCTCAGGTATTTGAACTCACCATTCGGTATGTTGACATTTCATAAAGTAGAATATTTACTTGTTATAATGTTTGTCATGTAATATTTTTTTCAGTGTGAAGAACTGATATTTGATTGGTTGTTTTGTCTATTCATCTCTAATCAGCCCTCCCCCGAGCCCATCGGGCACCGTGACGGTGACGTCAGGCCACGCCCAATACCAGTCTGTGCCAGTCTACGAAATGAAGTTCCCTGACCTCTGTGTGTACTGAACCATGACCTTTCACCTTAACTCTATCACACAGACTCAACCTTGACATGTGACCACTGACCTTTATCACACTTTATGTTTGGTCCTATGACCTTAAACTCACCTGAGCCACTCATCTTCATTAGACACATTTCACTATGAACGTCACTTACATTCCTGTCCAGCAGAAAGAAGGGGTGCAGACTGGATGGCCACTTCATGCCTCTATTCTACACCAGTCAGCACGCAGAGCTTTATGACCAGCTGTCCAGTCATACACCAGCTCTGTAGAATCATGTGAATCGTATGTGTGTGGTTTTCACTTTGATTCTTGCACTAAATGGCAGCTCCAAGAATCAAGCTGAGTATTTTAAACACTTGATTCTTCAGCTTCTTAATCTATTGATTCAAAGGAGTCATTTAGAAAATGACTCACTCTGGATTTATTAAGGGAACTTAATTGCTAGCATTAGCTTAAGTGCTAGTTTATGTTCATTGACTCATTTCTAAACCATCATCAGCAGAGATTTGAACATACGATAGATTTCTGTTCACTTAAATCTCTCCTATATAAATGATTATAGTGTACAGTATCGCACAGTATAGTATAGGCTATTTTTGACAAATATATATATATATATACTTTTAGATGAAATGATTGCTAATAGTTGCAGAGTGTTATTTGTATTGTTTGCATGGCTTAGCCAATGTTTCACTGCAAACGTTTGTGAGTTTAGGCCTTTATTAATCTACAATTAGCCTTTAACTTCAATGTTGTGGATGTCAACGGGGCTTTTGTTCACCCAGAGTTCTTAGTGATCACTATGCTCTCCATTTTGCCTTCACTGTATAGAGAAACCAAATCATTTGCTTTTCATCACCAAAGAGCTCCGCCCACGCACTTCCTTTATGGCCACACACGGCCGCCAATCAAATCTTGAGCCAATCAGAAACTGAATTCTCTTTGAGGGCGGGAACACCACAGTGTTCTTAAACTCAAACCTCAGAACAGTTTCTAGAAAACCGGGGGCCGAAAAATGATGGATTATCAGTGATAAAATGATCTGCATTCATCAACCAACTGTTTTTTTTATCGAGCCACAAGGACGTTGAAATGCTTTCCTGCTTTTCAGGTGACTTCATTCATCTACCTTGGACAAAAAAAAAATGTGTGTGACTGTTAGATGCTGAAATACTTTGCTGGAAATGTTTCACATCATCTGAGCTTCCTGTGGTGAGAGCTGTGATCAATTTCAGTTGCTTTTAGCTGGTAGAAACGTGTCTGTGCGGGACCATTTAGGACATTTTGGTTGATTCTGAGGTGCTTTCCATGGTTTCTGGGGGTTTGTTGTCATGCGATTGGCTTGTCTTTGTTTTCTGAATGTATTTATGTGGATGGAACGGCAAGTGGGCGAACGGGTGTTTATTCTGCAGATTTGTATGCTGATTATGGATTCTGTAATGATGATGCAATGCTGTTGCCATTTTTTTGGCCTGAGAAATGTTTCAATGGTCCGACTGTTTGTGTCCAGAGACTTGCACTGCATTGTGGGATTTGTACACACAGAAGGTAAAGAATGAAAGCATTTAAAGGTCAAACCTCAGAGATGGCTTGTTCTAAATGCTCAATAGGATAAATTTCTGTATTTCTGTAGAAATATAAAATAAATAATTTCTAGATTAATGTAATATATTTTTGGTGTAATATAAAATAGGAATGTGTTGTTTCTCTGACACATCATCTGTAATGCACCTTTAGAGATTTGTCTGTGTGCATGTCAAAGGGATTCAAAGGGGTTGTGTTTGTTCTTGTTAAGGTCTTACTGTAACTGCTAATATAATTTTTAGTGTAATTCACAATATATGTTTTATTTTCATTCTCAGTGGAACTTTACAGTACTTTAGTATTTATCACGTGGTTTGTCTGAAACTAATCTTTAGTTCTGTTTTATCTGTAACTTGACTTTTTTTAATTATTTTTGTTCTGTTTTATGGGTGAGAAGTAAAGAATAAGATGAGTTAGGTTTCAGGTTGATGGTGATGTGTCAATATGAACAGAAATGGTTTTGCAGTCTTCCGTGTGAAGATAGTCCAGAGGATAGGCATATGTCTACATGCATCACGCTAGATTTGAAATGTGTAATGGTATGAACCACTGCAGTGTTGCTACAGATTATAAAAAGTTACCATGAAATCTCCAGGTGTCAATTAGCCATATCCAGGTTTGCGGTCTGACAGTGTCTGCCACATTAATGTGCAATGAGATTTTATGGACGAGATCTTAAAAGTCTTAATAAATATTTTGTATTTAAATAATGTTTCTGTTGTTTTTTGTAAATTCCCATTACTGTAATACAGTAAAGAAAAGTTATTGTTGACCACAACTAAACAATGTCAAATAAATATCAGTCTGTGCAAAAAAAAAAAAAAGTTCCCTGACTTATTCTCGGTGGATTTAAGTACAGACTAAGTATCCACTACACTTAAGGCCATGATTTTTTTCTAATTAAAATCAGATTAATTAAATACATCAAAAAATAACATGATGATACTTACAATTATACTTAACAAATGCACTTTTAAATAATATTTAAATAATGTATAATTTATTTACCATTACAGTGCTGAAAATGATATTTTTTGCATTAGGCTACAGTAGGCGACTGAGAATTGGGGGAACATTCATAAATTATTAATGTTTCTATAAACAGGCTTCTTTTTCACTTTATGCAATTATTTCATCTTTTTTATAATTTTATTTACTTTCTTTTTTTGTGAAATATGACAGACATTTCTTGATATTTTTCATGAGATTCAGCTAGACGTTTTTTGTTGTTAACTTAAACTAAAACTATTAAAAACATTTTTGTCAATTGAAATAAGCTAAAATAAAATATAAATATTAGATTTCAAACTTAGACAATTAGAAATGGTGTGTTGAAATAAGTTTAAGCTGAAGTACAAAAAATACTAAATTAAATAAAACTAATTTCTACATAAAAATGCCTTTTATTTTTTTATTACACAGATATCAGACACATCAAATAAAAAATACTGAGAAATATAAAAATTCAGCTGCTGGCATTTATGATCCAGCACACAAGCGCAGCCTTTTAATAGGTCAAACACCAGCAGAAGAGGAGCAGCAGATCTTGGATGATCTTGTGTGACCGCTGGATACTGAGTGAGTTCAGACTGAGCTTAACTTTTCATTAAATGTGTGTGTCATCTTTTCTGACTGATTCCTCTATCATTGAGAGCTCCCTGAAAATATCAAAATTATAGAACCGCCTCATTCTATTGCTTCAATTCTTCCTCTTCTTCTATTTCTTTTTCTTCCTCCTCCTCTTCTTTTTCCTTTTCTGGCTCCTCCTCCTCTTCTTCCTCCTCCTCTTCAGGTGTGTGTGGCTGAACATGTGTGTTTGATTGGTTTTGTGTGTTAATTTGAGGCCGGGCTGGGGTCATTTCATTGCTCTCCTCTCCTCACTGGAGTCCTGATTGGCTGATTGTGCTGAAGAATGAGACTTACGGTGGCACGGTGGGCGGGGCCCAGAACACAAGGAGGTGACTGAATGGTTGAAGTGTGAAGCTGCCATGCACTCGGCAGTCGAATGATCGCAGATGCACTGCAGTCGATCACACACACTCACACCTGAACCTGCAACATATACACATCACAATCATTAACACAAAACTGACCTCCAAAGAAAATGTTAATAATTTTTTTTGCATGCATTGTGCGTGTGTGTAATGCCGTACATTGAGGTTTTCCTTTGTGGCAGCTGATGTGAGTGTTGAGTTTTCTGTTTTTCCTGCAGCCCAGAACACTGAGCTGCTCCAAACAGCACTGCTGCAGAAAACAGCACCTGACACAGAGCCACGTCAAGGACAGTCAGGACACACCAGAGCTTCACTGAATTTAATTGTCTGTGTGTACATGTGTATATATACACAGCCAGTCAATAGCTTGGACACCTTATTTTGTGTTTCTTATGATCTTAATAGCCTTTTGATTGCTTAAATGCTTGGAAAGAAATGATTGATTTCTTTATAACACTTAAATACTGGATTTTAGTTTTTATGAATACTAGTGATAGATTGATTCAAAGGTTGGGGGTCGGTTATATTTTTTAATGTTTTTGAAAGTCTCTTCTGTTCACTAAGGTTGCATTTATTTGATCAAGTATTGTCCAACGGTTTACAGTAAAACAATAATATTGTGAAATATTATTACAATTTTAAATAGGTATTTTGTGTTGAAATATAATTAAAAATCGAACTTATGCAAAGCTGAATTTTCAGGAAAGAAATGATTGATTTCTTTATAACACTTAAATACTGGATTTTAGTTTTTATGAATACTAGTTATAGATTGATTCAAAGGTTGGGGGTCGGTTATATTTTTTAATGTTTTTGAAAGTCTCTTCTGTTCACTAAGGTTGCATTTATTTGATCAAGTATTGTGCAACGGTTTACAGTAAAACAATAATATTGTGAAATATTATTACAATTTTAAATAGGTATTTTGTGTTAAAATATAATTAAAAATCGAACTTATGCAAAGCTGAATTTTCAGCATCATTACTCCAGTCTTTAATGTCACATGATCCTTTAGAAATCATTTTAATATGCTGATTTGGTATTTAAGAAACATGTCCAAAACAGCTGTGCTGCTTAAAACATTTGTGGAAACTGATACATTTTTTCAGGATTCTTTTATGAATGCAAAGTATTTATTTAAAATAGAAATATTTTGAAACCGTATAAATGTCTTTACTGTCACTTTTGATCAACTTAATGCGTCCTTGCTATATAAAAGTATTAATACATTTTTTTTTTTTAAATCGTACTGACACCAAAAATTTGATAACTGCTTATCCTAACTGAAGCCAGCAGTTTTTCTAGTAAAGATGTGTGTGTTTGTGTGCAACTTCTGACCGGTCCAGTTGGTCCACTGGGTTTCCTGTCCACAGTAGCAGGCGTAGTGTTGATACTCATGTGGACATCGTCCGGTCAGACAGTACAGCATTTCTCCCAGAGCAGACATGTCCCTCAACACCTGTCCAGATGCACTGTACTGGAGGAAAGAAGTGCTGCATTCTACAAACACACACAATCACACACACAAATTAATGTAACCACACTTCTATGATTCTGTGATTTCTAATCATTACTGTCTATTTGTTACTTATCCAATATAGGTATGTTTACATGCATATAGGTTTGCTTTCAGCTGCACTAAAGCTTTCATTTGTCTTTTTAAAACATCATGTGAACAATTTAGTCTGACTGAAATTGTAGCAGCCAGTTTTGTGAAGTCAGACTAACAGACCAACGTAATGCAATTGTAGCTTGGCTTTGTGCAGTATGAATACAAGGCAATCGGACTACAACTGGCTTCAACTTTGTGCAGATGTGATGAAAAACAGAGGTGACGTGTATTTAAGATAAGACACTATAGGGAAAAAAACTGTATTTTTTTTTTCACTCAGATTTTAGGCTATTTCATCTATGTATGTTTTTGTCCATTTCTCTGTATATTTCTCACCTTCAGAGTCACCTTGCTGCTGCTGCAGATCTAAAGACCAGGCAAAGAGCAGCGCCGCCCGTCTCCGGACCCGGTGAGACTCTGGGAAACACACAAATACACACACTGTACAGACGTGTATGTGCAAGAGTGTTTGGAGAATAGCTTAACGTAATTTACCCAAGCAGGACATGTTCTTGGATGAACATCCTGCTACAACATTACTATAACGATCGACCAATTAGATTTTAGGAGCAGGGTTATCATCAACCAATCATTTTCTTCTGATTTCACTATAGGTTATGAACAAGTTTGGACCCTTTTCACATATCCAGGGTTCTCGAAGTGGAAGCAGTCATAGTTGGGTAAACTTTTATAGTAGTGAAGAGAAACTACAACATAAGTATAATTAACATAAATCTATACTTTTTTCCCATTTGCCCCAATAGCAAAAGAAAAAATCCACAATAGCACATGTATGGCTTCCCAAAAGAGGAAAAAATAAAAATACTGATTATGTTGGTCAGAAGAGAGCAAGATGTCAAATTTGCTGTGATAGCCATTGTTTTAGAAAAACTAATCAGTTCTCACTGAGTAATTTAATACCAAGGTTATAAAACAGTAGTATAGTTTGATAAATGTACATTATATTTTCTAAAAATTAAAATATGAAAAACTTGCTAGATTTATGATGTAAATAACCATGGAAACACTCATCACAGTCTGTGAAAAGGGTCAGTTTGGTTGATATAAAGATGTTAATCCAGAAATATGTCCTGTTTGACTAGATCATATTGCTTTTTATTGTTAATTTAAAAAAAAAGTTGCTGAAGTGGATTGTCACAGTTACCGATTTTCTCAGATTCCTGTGAGCTGTCTGATGGCTCTTCCTCTTTCTCTTGCTCGTCTTCCTCAGCAGACTCCTGCTGAGCTGTAGTGGTCAATGACGGTGAGCGATCCAGGACAGGACGGGGAGGTTTCTGGGGATGAGCTGCTGTTTCGACAGCAGCGTGGCCTGATGTTGTGGTCCGTGTGCTGACGGGTGTGTGAGGAACCGTAGATGTGGTCTTGTGGTTCTTCGTTGGTTGTGCAGCTGTGTGAGCTGTTGGTCTTGGTGATCCGCTGTAAACGGGAGGTTTAGGGAACATCGCTGGAATGATCCACGTGGATGGACTGGCCTCTCTGACGCTGGATGGGATCACGGTGGTTTGAGTTTTCACCGATTCACCCTCTTCTTCATCACTTTGTAAATCTTCCTTACTGGCTTTCTCGTGCCTTTCATCCTCTTGAGATGGTTTTGTGTTGGCTTGTGTTTGAGTTTTCGGTTTGGTTGTGCTTAAGTCGGCAGGTTGTTCTGCGCTGCTTTCCTCACTCTTGTTTACTATTAAATCACTCTCTCTGTCAGTCTCTTTATCTTCCTCACTCTTTTTCTCTTCAAACAATATCTCTTTGTCCTTACTTCCTTTCATAAATGGAAGCTGCACCAAAGTAGTTGCTGCTACTGTGTTTTTATTGGTAGCTGTTGGTGGGGTTGTTTTGTGATATGAATTTTGATTGGTTGCTATTTTAGTGGGTGTGGTCATTAGAACTATATAAGCTGTTGAATGTTCTTCTGTTTCTCTGTCACTCTCTGTCATTTCCTGTTCCTCTTCTCTTTTCCTCTGTTGTGATGTGTAAAGGTGAGCTGACATACGGTTTAGCGATGTTGCTTAGGTAATTAGTAGTAGTATGTGCACCAGATGTGTGTGTAGTGTATGCAGGTGTGTGTGTGACAGGTTTTGAAGTGTTGCTTGCAGCTGACTGAAGTGTGTCTCCATCACTCTCATCGTCATCCTCCTCAGATGAATGATGGTGAGATTGTGTGTGGGTTGTATAGTGGGGACTGTGTGTGTTTGTGTATGTATCTGGTAATTCTGTGACAGTCTGTGATTCTGTTGTTGTGGTTAGTGCTATGCTAACAGTCAGCTTATCTGTCATAAAACCAAAATATTACAGTCAGAAAACATGCTGGATGTTTTAATGAGGTCATCTGCATATGTGGTTTAAGTATAAGGCATGCTTACTGTGTGTGGTCCACTCCATTGCATTGTGGGTAGTAAGAATTTCCTCTTCTTTTTTGTCTCTCCCTGGCTCTTCTGTAGTCAGCACAGCAGTAACTAAAATACAGAAAGTGGTTTAAAGATTAAATGTTTACTAATATTATAATAATAATTTTATCATTTAGAATGATTGTGACCCTATTCTATCCAGCTGCTTTTAAAGAATGCGAAGGCTGTGTTGTTGTTTTTGTCCTCATTGACTCCTCATTGATCCTCTTCTTTTTTTTCTTTTTTTTTAAACATTCTTAAAAATATCTATCTGTGCAGAACAGTATTGTTTTTGTTAACTAAAACTACAACTATTAGAAATTGTTTTCGTTAATTGAAATAAAGTTGAAATAATTAAAATAGAAATATCTGATGAAAAAAATGAAACTTAAAAAATGTACACATAAATTAGAAATGCTGCCTTGGCAACTAACTGAAATAAAAGTTAAAGTTGAAATATTAATATTAATAAAATTAATTACCAAACTCAAATTAAAATGAAAAGTGACAATATAAAAATAAAAGCTAATTATAAATACTATAATAGTATATAAATAATGCTAAAATAATACTGGTGCAGACAATAGAACGTCATACACTCTTGGAAGGAAATGAGGGTGAGTAAATTATGCCAGAATTTTCATTTTTGGGTGGACTATCTCTTTTAATGTGTTTACTCATATTTCATTCTTATTTTAAATCATTATTGTACTAAATGAGTTTTGTTTCTGACACGGCAATTTATGGCATTGGTTCTTGATTTACATCTTTAGTCACTGTATATAGACTTTCGTTCTTTATTTTAAATTGCTTAATTAAAGGGGTCATATGATGCGATTTCAATTTTTCCTTTCTCTTTGGAGTGCTACAAGCTCTTGGTGCATAAAGAAGATCTGTAAAGTTGCAAAGACTAAAGTCTCAAATCCAAAGAGATATTCTTTATAAAAGTTAAGAGTTAGCCACACCTACCTAAAACGGCTCATTCTAACACGCCCCCACATACCTACGTCACTATCTGGGAAGATTTGCATAACACCGCCCAAATGTTCATGCAAAGAAAGAAGGCGTAACTTTTATTCTCGCTGAAGTATTATTGTTGCCATGTCGTGAAGGCACTGTGTGATTCGTTGTGAAAGTGAAACTACTTTGTTTGGCCTTCCAAAAGAGGACGATATCGCTTCGTCATGCCTGGAGCTGATCCCTGCTGGTCACTGAGGAAATACTTCAACTTCGCGCTGTCGATCACCGGATTGGCTTTCACCGTGGACAAAGCGGAGTCCAGCCCGGGGTCATCACATGTGGTTGCCACAGGCATCACAATATGGTAAGGGACATAACATTTCCGTCACACGCTTGAGGAATTCGGCCAATCACAATGCACTGGATAGCTGGCCAATCAGAGCACACCTCGCTTTTTCAGAACGATGAGCTTTGTAAAAATCGACGCGTTTCAGAAAGGCGGGGCATAGAGGAGAAATAATAATGTACAGTATGTGGAAAATTATGTTTTTTGAATCTTAAACCACATAAACACATTTCATTACACCAAATACACAAAATAATGTTCTTTTTAGCAGCATCATATGGCCCCTTTAAGAACTAGAAGAAGCTATCAGCTACAAAAACGAATGTATTAGCAATGCTAAGAGTCTTTGTTGAACTCAAACTGTGGGGTTTAAAGGCTTGTCGTCATTTAGAATCATTTGATCAAGTGTTTCTGAACAGTGATCAGTGAGTGTGCTGGAATTCCAAAGAAGTCCTTGATGTACAAGTTGAGACCAATTTGTTTATGACTAGCTAAAAGCCCAAAATGCATAAACCACACAGGCTGTAAACGGCACATTCTTACCATCCTCATATTTCACTGCCTCCTCTTCTTCTCTCTCAACTATACTTCCTCTCTCTGAGTTTCTGTCCATGTCTCTTTCCTCTGCTTCATTCTCCTCTTCCTCGGGACCTGAAGATGAAGTTCAGCTTAGATCAATGAAGTCTTTAGGTGGCTGAGGATTACTGGGGAATATGAGGGGGAAATCACCCTCTGGGCTATAAAAAAAAGAGTCTAAATGTGAGTTCAGTGAAGTGCTTTACCTGACTGAAATATCGCAGGATACTTTGTGCTCAGGATATTGCTGCTCTGAGAGCTGTTGAACAGCACCAACTCATTGGTGAAGTTACTCAAAGTCTCATTCAGTGTGTCATTCACTCCTGAAAAACAGAGTAAAAGAGGAAATGATTTTACATGATATTTAAAAACATAAATCCTGAAGGACATAGTGGGTCTTGTTTTTTTGTTTATCATAATATTTATACTTATTTCAGTACTACAAACAAAATATATCATATATTGCCAACTATTGCTACTGACTGTGCTGATAAAAATCATAATATTTTGAAATATTATTACAATTTAAAAGTTTTCTATTTTAATATATTTTAATATATATTTTTTTTCTCTTCAGTGTCACATGATCCTTCAGAAATCATCCGCTCAAGAAACATTTCTTATTATTAGCAATGTTAAAAACAGTTGTGCTGCTTATTAGTTTGTGGAAACCGTGATTTATTTATTTTTTTCAAGATTCTTTGATGAACAGAAAGTTCAAAAGAACAGCATATATTAGAATAAATGTCTTTACTGTCCCTTTTGATCAATTTAATTCACCCTTGCTAAATAAAAGTACTAATTAAAAAAAAAACTGTAAATGAGACCACTTTTAAATGGTAGTTTATTACAAAAGGTTTAGATTATATATATATATATATATATATAAATAAATGCATATATAATGTGTATATATAGCTTTTATATTCATTTAAAAACTATGCTTGTTTATATTAACACATTCCCTATTTTTGTGGATTTCTATAGAACATGATCTCCATGTGGATGTCTGATGGAGAAAGCTCCACCTTGTCTGAGACACAAACCACACTGTTAGATGATCAGCATATCTAAATCTCTCTCTCACACACACACACACACACACACACACAAGTTCTCCATTGTTTGGTTAATCTATTATTTCCCTCAAAAAATGTTTTTAAATGGCTGGGGTCAGCAAGTAGGCAAGTTCCTTCATTATTACAAAAAAAGTCAAGTAATTTATACAGAATACTATATAAATAACTGTACAGCTATTAAAAATATACAGGCAACCATGAATATAACAAATTTAAAAAGGATAAAACAAAGAGCTAATGTGGGTCTAAACGGACTCACCTGCTCCATTGGCCATATCACTAGTGTAGGTGTCATTATCAGGTAGATCCATCACAAAGGGAGGGACTGAAATAACAAAAGACAGATGAAAATGCTGACATGTAATATATTTATCTGATTCTGAACACACTAATGTGCCACTGGTAATAACTGTTTGTTGTTAAGTTGTTAAAATCTCATCACTTCATCTCAGCTGTGAAAGGTAAAGGTGCTTGTGCTCTGATCTAATACTGTTACAGTACCTGTCTGTGATGTGATTGGTTGGTTATCTTCAACCTGTGTTGTGACTGGATGGTTGGAGCTGATGCAGTCTATAACCGTCCGATCACAATGACAGAATCCTTCCTCACAGATATCCAACATATCTGCAAATGTTGGATACAGAATTGGGGTCAACTAACTGTTTTCTCCACTTAATAGATGTAACTTAACCATGTCACAAATACTCTACTGGTTAGTGACACTATAGAGAGTGTTTTTGTAGGCCAAAACCCAGAAACAAATTAGCATTTTAGCACTTCTATCGTTAAGTCATTGGGCTTTTTACATATGCTGATTGTAGTTAGGCTTCAAAATTCTTGAAAGTTGTGTTGTTAAGATTATCATGATGAACAAAATGTTTAAAATTATAAATGTTTCTTGGTCACAGATTGCATTGCAGATAGCATTGAAAAATGCTATTGGGGTTTTGTGGAGGGAACCAGGGTGACGAAAAGCAATCATTTGCCATGAAAGCTTTTTGAAAATATTTGTGTACCACAGCTGGAGTTGTAGCTGCAGGTGTAGTTATATGTTGGTGTCGTCCGACTGCAGTTTCTCTCCCTTAGCTCTTGAGAACATCTCCAGTGGGTAAGACAACACCTTCAACACAATCACATTCATTTTAATTTTCCATTTATTTGTACATATTTATTCATTCAGCTTCCCAAAAAATAGGACGGGAAAAGAAAAATGAAAGGAAATAAAAACATTAATGTCCTCTGATCTCACGTATCACTGTAAAAAAAATTCCGTAAAATTTACAGTAAAAAACCGGCAGCTGTGGTTGCCGGAATTTTACCGTATTACGGTAGCAACGTTTTAGGTTTTAACTTAAATTTACAGTTAAATACCGTAATTTCATTAACTGATATAATGTTAATATACCAACCTATTGAAGTACTGAAATCTGTTTTGTACCTTTGTAATACACTGATAACCACCAAATGCAGGTGGTGATGAGAAAGTCACATGATGAACCAAAGCCCATCACAAGCAGCTTTTAAATAATAACATGTATAGAAGGTGCACAGTGTCATTCACACAAACACTAAACACCATCATGGTAACACACATCAAACTGAAATAATGCAATAAACATTAATTTAACAACATTAGGTGTAACACACAACCCTAATATACAAATCTGATAAGAAAAAACTAAGAAGAAACATAGTTATTTCAACAAAAAAAACATCAAATTTGAAATGTAACAGGGAATTCTGGGAATGTCAATTTACGGTTATTCACTGTAAATTATACGGTCTTTTTCACTTCCAAAAACGGTATACTACCGTAAAATTAATGTCCAATACATGTAATGTCCAATACAGTTTTTCACCGTATATAGTAGGGGAATTTACCGTTAACCATTTAACAGGTTTTTACTGTAGCATTTTTACAGTCTTTTACCGTTAAATTCACGGTCATTTTTTACAGTGAGATTGTTCTTGCACATGTGGGTGTATGTGTGCATTTATATCAAATTATATTTATATGTGTGCATTTGTATTAAAATATGCACTTTAATATAAAGTGCGGGTTTGTTTTTTACATACTCCACTGCTCTGCCTGTTTTTATTTCTAATATCTTTTCACCAACTGCATAGAGATGCGGCTAACAGACAGAAAGAGGGGTCAGAGCACGCGATGAGTATGTGTGTGTGTGGACTCCACTAAAGTTAATAAATCCATTTAAAATCTTTCTACCCCCTCCTGAGTCTAATTTCATCCACTTCCCATCTCTCTCTGCGGTCGAGTGTGTCTGCAGGCTGTGTGTGTGCGCGCACGGTGTCCCGTGTGTTTGCGGTGCTGCAGTAATGTCCGTGATTCTCAATGTCCGCGGGACAGAGTCCGGTCTCACACCGCAGACTGACCGCGAACTCAAGCTCTGACCGCAGGTCACAAACACAGCGTACAGCCAGGTGAACCGCACACCCAGACAATCTGTATGTATCGCAACAACAACATACACCTATTTAACGATAAAAGACTGTGTATGTGGTTTAATATAGGCTATATTATCAAAATTAAATAGATAAAGTTTACGTATATTTTCTCTTGGGCATTTGTTTGATTATGTTAATGAACCTCACCAATCAATCAAAAGAACGGAGGTCACTTGTTTCTGGGCAGAAAACAGCAGTACCATGAACTGCAGAGAGAATTTGTCGTAAATTAACGAGTTTAACATAGGTAATGATAACATTCCCCATAGCATTCCAATAAACTGAATAATCGCATTGTAGTGTAATATTATATCAACAGAAATATAAGAATGTTTGCCCAAATAAGATAAGAAAACTAAGTAAATTAAACTATCTAGCACATAATGCATATTTTAAATGGCCAATAAAAACTTTTCTTAGTCACTATTTTTTGTTGTTGTGAAAAATCAGAAACATTATAAATTCAGTTTCACTACAAATTAACCTAAATAATATTTTTATTTATTTATACAATAAAAATTAACCAGTCTTTTAAAAAATGGTTGATGATGGTTGATGAACTTAATTAAAATTGTTGCTACAGTTTCATATTAAAAGTGTAAAAGTATTTTTGTCCATGAATATTGAATCTTAAAATAACTGTAAAATATATTCAACTAGAATAATATAAAAATGTAGATTTTAGATTTGGGTCTCGTTCACTAATACTTGCTTAGGGGTTCTTAGGCACACAGAAAATGTTTTAATGCAAAATTCATGAAAAAAATACAGAAAAACATTAATGTGAAATAACTGTTTTCTGTTTGAAAATATTTTAAAATGTATGTAAAATAATTCTAAAACATTTTATAATAGAATTGATTATTTTATTTTATTCCTGTGATGCAAAGCTGAATTTTCAGCAGCCATTACGCCAATCTTCAGTGTCACACGATCCTTCAGAAATCATTCTACAGTAATATGCTGATAAAAAAGTGAAAAGTGTAGGAACTAAGAATAATTATGTACATTTCAGTGTCAAGGTGATGAACTCACTTTTACCTGTTTCTTCGCTCCTGACAGACAAGTGTTTGCATATTCTCACCTTTCTGCAGGGTGAAGAGGAGAAAAACATACAGTAGCCTCATCTTTATCCTGCAACAAATGATTCCAGTATTCCTAGGTTCAGTCAGTGAAGGGGCAAGCCGAACCAAGAGCCTCAGCAATCAGACACACATACATCCAAAATTTGCACTTCACAATCTCTTCTAATGCAGGTGTGTGTAAGAGATGAGAAAACAATCCCAAAATGAACAAAGGCCTATTTAGGACACTCTAAAAAGTCAAAGGGCAAAAGGCAGAGTGGTTGCCATAGTAACCGGGCTGCAGGAAGTACACACTCTTTACGTTTGCATCAGGTCACACATAAGATGAAGTGAGATCTCACACACACACACACCTTCTATAGCTCTCTTTTCTGCAGGGTAAAGGTCCTGACCCCAACTGATAATTTACCTCCTCAAACAACTGACCATTGTATGTATGTGTGTGTGTGGACAGGAACTCAGAAAGAAAGTGGGGGTTGTAAAGGATTCTTTGTGTCCTTTTGGTTTCTAGGGAGTTTGAAATAAGCATGCTGCTAACAAGGCAATACTCTAAACTCAAAAAATACACAGCACACACAAATATTAGTTGTATTAATCCATTTTTAATGACACTGAACAAATTTTATTGTATAAAATTTTGTATTTTTATAAAAAGTATTTTTATGATAAACAATTTTCCCATCTCGTTCACCATCTTGGGGGTATTTTTTTCTTTCAGGTGCTTCCAGGTATGATTTTAGCGTGTTTGTTGGTGTAAAACTATATAAAAAATCAAACATGGGTAAATATGTTTGGTTTTATTTATATTCAGGAGAGACAAAGTGCAATTTGGGCACTATAGATGCACACACTATACTGATTTAATGATGAAAATGCAGTTCAGTGTTTAACAGAACCCAGTTTCTCTCACACATACATAAACAAATTCTTTAGTTCAGATGGTACAGATGTCTGTCACCTGCAAATGAAGCTCAGTTTTCGTCTTACATCTTCACACACATTCTTGCCAGACATTTCTGCTTCAGATCTGAGAGAGAGAGAGAGATTGTGAAAATATTAGTAAAGAAATTGCTTCAACATGGCCTGGAGGATTGACCTGGTGGTGCTGTCTAAGATTCATCAAAGCATGATATTTCAAAGAAAAAAATATGTTTGTCTTTGTGATCTTTCATCAAAATGTTACAAGATGTCACCATGGCCACTTAAGTTTCAGGTGCAGGCGGTGTTTTAGGAGGCAAGTAGTTGTTTCAGTACTCTCATTCAGGACTGACTCCATTCTTGTATGGACCGGCTACTTTACTCTACATGATTCAATCAATTACTGATCAAGTCCTGCCCCATTTATTCTTATTTGATCCTATTAGGAACTTTCAGCATTGACTCCACATTCTGTACATATTCCTGTCGGATTTGCCCTTAGATGACTGGTGTATTGTCAGTGCTTTTCTCCTTTATCAGCTAATTTCTGACATCAGACAATTATATTTGAGGATGGTTGTGTGGTAAACAAGCAGCTGTATGTGGGCTCAAATGCCATAAGATTCTCAAGCCCTTGAACTAACTCTAAACACGTTTAACAGCAGCAGCCTGTGACTTATTCTCCAGTTTCACCGCTGGAGACACACTACAATCAAGTGACTGTCTGCAGCCTATTTCATCTTATTCTATCTTTGTTCAGCACAACACACACACACACACACACACGCGCACATTTAGCGTGTTTGTTGGTGTAAAACTATATAAAAAATCAAACATGGGTAAATATGTTTGGTTTTATTTATATTCAGGAGAGACAAAGTGCAATTTGGGCACTATAGATGCACACACTATACTGATTTAATGATGAAAATGCAGTTCAGTGTTTAACAGAACCCAGTTTCTCTCACACATACATAAACAAATTCTTTAGTTCAGATGGTACAGATGTCTGTCACCTGCAAATGAAGCTCAGTTTTCGTCTTACATCTTCACACACATTCTTGCCAGACATTTCTGCTTCAGATCTGAGAGAGAGAGAGAGATTGTGAAAATATTAGTAAAGAAATTGCTTCAACATGGCCTGGAGGATTGACCTGGTGGTGCTGTCTAAGATTCATCAAAGCATGATATTTCAAAGAAAAAAATATGTTTGTCTTTGTGATCTTTCATCAAAATGTTACAAGATGTCACCATGGCCACTTAAGTTTCAGGTGCAGGCGGTGTTTTAGGAGGCAAGTAGTTGTTTCAGTACTCTCATTCAGGACTGACTCCATTCTTGTATGGACCGGCTACTTTACTCTACATGATTCAATCAATTACTGATCAAGTCCTGCCCCATTTATTCTTATTTGATCCTATTAGGAACTTTCAGCATTGACTCCACATTCTGTACATATTCCTGTCGGATTTGCCCTTAGATGACTGGTGTATTGTCAGTGCTTTTCTCCTTTATCAGCTAATTTCTGACATCAGACAATTATATTTGAGGATGGTTGTGTGGTAAACAAGCAGCTGTATGTGGGCTCAAATGCCATAAGATTCTCAAGCCCTTGAACTAACTCTAAACACGTTTAACAGCAGCAGCCTGTGACTTATTCTCCAGTTTCACCGCTGGAGACACACTACAATCAAGTGACTGTCTGCAGCCTATTTCATCTTATTCTATCTTTGTCCAGTAGAAAACACACACTCTTCACCATCATTAAGACTGACCTTACACATCATTAGTCTTGTAGCAAAAGTGTTTTAATGGGATCACACACACTTTAATGAGTTCAGATACACATGCAGGTATCCACTCTCACACACACACACACACACAGAGAAACAAATTTGGTTGCAGTGAGGTGTGTGTGTGTGTGTGTGTGTGTGTGAGAGAGAGAGAGAGAGAGAGAGAGAGAGAGAATGATAAAATTATAGTCGTTCACTCATCAAGGAAAACAGCCAGTGTCTCTTTGCTCAGACACACATTCAACCACAGCCAGCCGTAGCTTTAAATAACCCAGAACAATTCACTGAGAAGCACTAATTAAGATATTAATGATAATGATAATAGTAATGACCCTATTATGGAATATTAAAACTTCAGCCGCACTAAGAACAAGAATAAAACTTTGTTAAACTACAGTGATTGTAGAAGAAATGATACAGGATTTTCAATCTCACATTTTTTCTATTGCCGCTGATGATTTTAATGGATTTTTAGTAAAGGTCTGTGATGTATATTTGTATATTATATGATAATATGATAATTGTATTGTATTATATGATAGAATGTTTTGATTTGTTTGCTGTTAGGATTAGATTTGATGATGTTGTGTAACTCACTTTTGGAGAAAGTGACTCTCCTCATACGACTGCAGACCTCTGCTGTGTGTCTCTCATACCAACGATGGCTGTCCACACAGTATCTGCAGAACAAAATATTGACTATTTTGTTCATACCATCAACATTATTGAGGATACACACAGAATTACTGTCTTACTCCCTGATACTAATGATTTTATAAACAAAACTTTGAATATTTTGTGAATTTATTTACATAGGGTCCAAAAGTCTGAGACCACTAATGCTGAAAACACTTCTGTTTTTCACTTTACTAAAATGTAATATAAACATTTTATTCAGGGCTGCCCAAACTCGGTCCTGGAGGGCCGGTGTCCTGCAGAGTTTAGCTCCAACTTGCCTCAACACACCTGCTTTTAAGTTCCCTTTCATGGGAACTTCGAACTGCGTCCTCTAGGGGTCGCTATGGGGAACGCCTCGTCGTGACCCGTGTCTGAAGCATACATTGAAAAAACACCAACTCGTTGGCCGGCGACAGCCATGACGTCACTACCAGTGCGACTATAGTATAAATAGGCGCCGGGAGCACACATCATTCTCTTCTTCGTCTTCATTGACTGTTTTGTTTGAAGCGTGCATTTCTGTGGTAAGAGCGATCTCTATTTATGTGTTTAATTGGGGTTGGAGCTAAACTCTTCAGGACACCGGCCCTCCAGGACCGAGTTTGGACACCCCTGATTTTATTGAAAAGATGAATGTGTTAATTTTTAATGGCAGCTGCACTTGAGTTGGAAAGGAAGGAGCAAGGAAATATTTTCTACAATGGAGGTCATATGGTCAGTGTCACAAATTTGATGTGACTTAGAAATATTGTGGAAACTGTATTATCCATTTTTAAAAAAAGCTTTGTTTATTAACTCACTTTGATTCTCAAGACTGTCACATGAATTCGGACTTTTGGATCCCACTGAATATGTATATATGTAAAGTGTTTTGTAACATGCATCTCTATTATATATGCCCATTTTGTGACTTTAAAGGGGTCATCGGATGCCCATTTTCCACAAGTTGATATGATTCTTTAGGGTCTTAATGAAAAATCTATAACATACTTTGGTTAAAATTTCTCAATGGTAGTGTAAAATACACTCTTTTTACCATGTCAAAATCAGCTCTGCAGAAATCAACCCGTTTTTTGCATGTTGCTTTAAATGCTAATGAGCTCTGCTGACCCCGCCCCTCTCTTCCGTGGGGTGACGAACCATGCTCTGAGAGACTGTTTACTTTAGCCGCGAAACTTGCTAAGTAGCACTTTATTAGGAACAGCTATTGCAAAGATTCATAAAAAACCCTTATACTCACTTCTGTTGTAAGTGAAGCTGGATCACGAACGATTCGCGCGAATATAAACGCATTTAGGTAGATCGGGGCGCATTCCCTTCACAAACAAAAGTAACTTTAATCCCACTGTGTCTTCAGCGGCTCAAATGTCGGGAGTAAATGACGACTGCTTTGTTCATTATTACATCCAACAACAGAACACCTCAATCGCTATGGAGCCATGCTTGTCTACATCTGCTCGGGTGGTGAAACAATGGCAGTCTGACTGTTACAGCTCACTAAGGGCGGGTCTAAGGTAAGACTCACTGTCAATCAACTGTCGTGGGAGTGGCCTTCGTCCGTATGACGTCACACAGACAAGAAGCTGAGAATGGCCTGATTTGAAAAAGGGGATATATTTTTAGGGATTAAATAAAAACCACTGGGTGGATTTTTATCATTATAGGGTAGATGTGTACACACACTGCCAACACACATTTATGTTCAAAC